CCCCCTCCCTTCCTCTCTCAACTTTCTATCTTGACCCTCTCTTCTTATCCTCCCCCTCTCATAAAGCACTGTTAGAAAATCTGAAAAAGAGTCTCTCTCCCCCCCCCCCCCCCCCCCCCCCCCCCCAAAAAAAAAGGCAGACATGCAGTGTCAAGTGAAACTAGTGAAATTGTAAATGAAAATGTGACATTACCCTAAAGCTGAGATGTAAAATGAGCACATAAGTGGTAATATTGAAAGTGTGCTTGTTCTTGTGCATCTTCAGGTGACAAAACTTTAGATGGGTACCAGAAAAAGAAGTATGTGTGCAAACTGCTGTTCATTTTCCTACTGGGTCACGACATTGACTTTGGTCACATGGAGGCGGTGAACCTGCTAAGCTCCAACAAGTACACAGAGAAGCAGATTGTAAGTATTTCAGGGAACTATTGTTTGTTGTTCTATAGGCTCATTCTATGTTACAAGGATCAGTGATGGCTTAGTGGTTGGTACACTTGTCCACCAGTTTGGTTTGGCTTATACGACGGATCAACATCATGGCGCAAGGGTAGTAACCCATAAGGGCTCTGTTCTACTTCTAACTCAAGCCTGAGTCTGAAGAATCTCAGCGCAGTGCAGGAATTCCGTAGCACCAGTTCACCCGTACAGTGATCTAGAGTTCAGTTCCCAATGAAAATAAGTTTGGATTTCTTAATATTATGGCCCTGTCCTTACACTGAAATCCACAGGAAAAAAGAAGTGAAGGGAGACCAGTAGAGAAGAGAGATAGAATAATATGGAGAAGACAACAGCAAATGGCACCCGATGGCAACGGCTGTATGGGGATAAGGAAGGAAGGTTAGTTGTGTATCCTTTACAGGACGTTGCAGAACCAACCCCAGCATTTTGTGGCTGTTGTGGTTTTTCTAGTCCAGTAGTTTGCCATTGCTTTCTGGACGGTCGGTTTTCGTGATACCACAGTCGAAACCAACGCAAGGCGCATGGCCTGCAGCTGGGATTAAACCCGGCATTTCGTATGGGGATAAAGGGCACAATAAAAAAGATGCAGCAGGATTTGTAGGTAGATTTGTTAAATTTGATTCAAGATGTCTTCTGAGAAAGAAGATGGTGAGGCTTGTAGTTGACCACTTAACTTCAGTGCTACTGCCCTGTAAATGTTTAACAATACTAACACTCTACTTATTATTGGTATTCTTTCTTCTTTCCAGTCTATAACTTTTATGGTGTTTTACATGCTTACTCTAGCTTAGTATTTTTCCACAATGCTTAAGACTTTGTTTATGAAGTATAGTTGGTGATTGATTAAGTTAATTGTTGAAACAGTTTTTGTTACACTTATTTATACACTTGGTTCCGATTCTGATTGTGCTAGATATCCCATTTCGTCATATTGAGCTGGACTGTACCTTTATATTTCTAGAATAAAAAAAAAAATTGTGCTGTCTGCAGAGTGGAGTTTAGTTGCAATGTATTCACTACTAACTATGGGAATATTACATGTTGATGTCCCTTTTTCGATGTGGTAATTGTATCACTGTCAGCCACAAGAACAGTCTTTTTCCAAACCACCCACAGCAGTAATCAAAACCTGGTTAACATTGAGGAATTCATTGTGAAACCACAGAACCGCTAGAATTTTCCAGGAATTTAAATATGATGAAATTCTACTCTGACATATGAAAGCTTTTGTTGGTAGGACTGCTTTGCACATGTTTTATTGTTTGTTTATATTTACAGGGCTACCTGTTCATCTCTGTGCTGGTTGGTGCTAGCAATGAGCTGATGAAACTGGTCATTCAGGCCATCAAGAACGACCTGGCTAGCCGAAATCCAGTCCATATAAACCTGGCTCTTCACTGCATGGCCAACATTGGCAGCCGAGAGATGGCTGATTCTGTGGGTTCTGATATTCCCAAATTGCTGGTGTCCGGGTGAGGCTTTGTTCAGCAGTTTAGTCATCTGACAATCTCTCTCTCTCTCTCTCTCTTAGATTGAATGGTAGCCCATTATTGTACATGTATTTGTTTTTTCTTTAGAATGTATGATATAAAGTTGTACTTTCAATATTTAACTGTAATTGTGGTTAAGTGGAAGCTTAGCATGCAGTAATTAGGAAAGAATTAAATGGTATGACAGAATTAATGATGCTGAGCTTGGCAACTAAACCAGTTCCTGTGGATGGGGATGTGAGAAACACTGGCACTGGAGAGGACATAAAGCGGGGAAAAACTGGTAATTAATTGACTAGTCAAAACTTGTAGACCCTGTAGGTGTTTAAAAAATCACTGTCAGCTGCAAATATAAAGAGCAGGCTGAATAAGCAGCTGCCATAGTTAACCTTGTTGCCAAGACTGACACAGTCAATTCTCCGTTGCCTTCATGTTAATTGGTTGTATTTTCAAATATTTTTTTAAAAAATATTGTTTTTCCTGGGGCTTTTGGAGTAAAACATTGAACATTGGAAAACCCACTCACACAAATATTTTCAGCTCAACCTATTCTGCTATATATTTGTCAGTGTCATTGAATTCTTGCCAGAGTTACTTAGTGCACTTGGATGAGATTCTCCTTGTGTAGCTGGGGAGAGGAGGCTGCATTTTGTTTTAAAAAGATATTGGGATGTAGCTTGAGTTGTCTGGTCATTGTTCATGATGAATTCATTGCTGTTTAAGCTGCAGAGTAGATGTGTATTTAATCAATCTTTATGCCATTACAGGGACACAATTGACTCAGTGAAGCAGAGTGCTGGATTGACACTTCTGCGTCTACTAAGAGCTTCTCCAGATATGATTCCCATTGGTGAGTGGACTTCCAGGATCATTCACCTTCTCAATGACCAGCATATGGTAAGAAGCCGATTGTTGTTTGTGGCTGATGTATGATAGTGTGTGATTACAAACAAGTGACAGATAGATTTGACGAGCTTTAGAATTTTATAGACTGTGGATCGCCATTACTGCCTGTACGTACCCCATTTGCAGTGTAGGCAGAGGGGTCTTTAAGCCTGAGGATCAAGGGCCGCATGACAAGAACTGTCACCAGAGACTGCAGAATAGGATTTTGTTTTCACAGACAATAACATTTAAGAATTAGGATACAAAAGTTGACCCTGATTTTCAACTTTCCAGTGAATTGTTCTAAATCACTTTCTAGTGAAAATGATTGTGCTGTCATCAAAATGTAGTAGGTACTATGTAGAATGCCACTCCAACCACAGCCTGACAGAAAGCCTCTTGGTTCCTTTTCATTTTCCCTGGCTCGGATGTTCTTACTAAAGGTGAGCCCAGAATTCGTTGTTCAGCTTCATTCTGGTCGACACCTGTCTTATTTTCCACAACCATGCATTGTGTGATTGCTTTTCTTAAAGCCAATCTTGTGTTTACAGTGGCTGCAGTAGTTCACTTTCCAAGAAATACTGCTGTTTCTAAACCTGTTTTCCCTTCACCATTGAATATCAGGTTTCTTGATCTATGAAAGACATTTTGTATACCACTTTGAAAGCTCAAGTGATAGCACCATGGTTCAAGACTTATTTCCTTATATTGCCACAGAAAAGATGCATGTTTTGATAAATTTTATTAAAATTTGTTTTTTTATTGTGGTACCATTAAAAAAAAAAGAGGTATCAATTTTATTTTGCGGTTTAAAAATAATAAAAAAAATAAACCTAGACACTCATATTCTTGTAATTTGTGACAGAAATGGAAAGCCCGGTAGTTCAGATCCAAGCAGATTTTGTGATGCAATTTATCTGTTGAACTTCTTATACATAATTTAAAAGAAAATGTTTTTATTTCAGGGCGTAGTCACGTCTGCTACAAGTTTGATAGAAGCTCTGGTGAGGAAAAACCCAGAAGAATACAAAGGTTGTGTTTCACTGGCAGTTTCCAGACTAAGTAGAGTGAGTCAATTGTTTTCTATGTTGCCTGCTTCATTGGCAGAACAAATAAATTAGTTTGCTAACCTGGAAGCTGAAATATTTTGGTCATATCAAGTGCCACAACAGTTTTGAGAGAATTATAACAGAAGGCATGGTACCAGGAAGGAGGGGCAGGGGCCGAACGAAACAAAGATGGGCACAGGATAAAAGTGACTCCTTGAGTATGAAAGTACATGAGGCGGGAGAGCTGGCGAGAGACCGAGTTTCTTTCAGGCAGACCATGATGAGAGCGACGTTCTGCAAAGGACCTGCTACATGATGATGATGTACCTGACATTCAGAGACCTCCTAGTTAAGCACAGGTGCCAGGCTAATAATATGTTGTGGTTGCCTACTTTCTCTGCTTACATGCATACAGTACAGTGAGAAAACTTGGAGTCATTTGTAACAGTCTCTCCAGTAACATCACTAGAAACAAAATTTACCCAGAACAGCAGATACAAAAGATACTTATTACACCAGGATTTGATTGACACAACACTGTCATTGGAAATGCTATTGCAGAAAAAGGCAACAGATATGACACAACCTGTGGTTGAGCTGGGAAATGTACTTTGGCAAAGTTGTAGGGGTGCTTTATCTCCTTATATGTGAATGGATTTTTTTGTTTAATACTCTTTCCTGCAGTATCTATCAGTTTTATAAACACATTAATTTATGTTATCGTTTTAAAAATTATATGAATTGGCTAATAAATTGCATTGGTTGGGGCATATGGATATAAGGCAGATAACAGACAAAAACTGAATTAAAAAAATGCTGAATCACAGAAGACAACAAGGCAGGGCAAGAAGACGGTGCAGAGATAAAATACAAGCAGACTCACAAACACTTGGGGTCACCAACTGGAAAGAGAAGGCCAGCCTCAGAGATGAATGGAATAGTTATCTGCAGTACTGACCCTTGAAATACCTTGGTTTGGAATGCTGAGGAAATTTTCAGTTTCCCACTTGTCTTTCATGTAAACACATGAAGACTGCATTTAGTATATCTTACTTAATACCATTGTAACATTTTAGCTGTGTTTTTCAATGCCTATTGCGTCTTTCATTTAATCCAGATTGTGACAGCCTCATACACAGATCTCCAGGACTACACATACTACTTTGTTCCTGCTCCTTGGCTGTCAGTCAAACTACTCCGCCTGCTGCAGAACTATCCTCCCCCAGGTCAGTGTTAGTATTGACTCCACCTCTGAATCTATAAAAGACTGAAATTCATACTAAAAGCCACACTGCAACTATAGAAAATCTGTTTCAGATGCATGAAAGCAGAAGACTCCATCTGTGTAATAGAATATGAGATCTATTTAAAGAAACCACTTCCTACCTAACAGAGTGGATACTTATATGGATCTGCTATAAATATTACTGTCAATGCAGGCTGTTTAGTTTACATCAAGGCTGTTCAACTAAGTTTGCTCAGGGGACAAAAAGCTGATACATAGGGGATGGTCACATGCCAAAGACCTCAGCCCCAGCTTAGAAAGATCAGTAATACAATACAAGTGACAATGATCTGTGGGCCATCTACTGGGCCTCCGTGGCCAGAATTGGCCTGCGGACTGCCAGTTGAATAACCCTAGTTTACATGGTTTAGACAGGTGCTGTGTCACAGGACACTGCTCAGATTATAAGTTTAAAAACAAAAAGTAAAGGATCCTTTTCATCTTATTGACACATCAGTCACATGATGCTAGACCCATTTTTGTTTGTTTGGTAGACCAGTTGGCACTTTGTGGGTATTGGGGTCAACATCACAACACTTTTACTTGTAGTGGCTTGCTATGAGGAGAAGTATAGCTAGTGATTTTGTTTGCGCCTGTGCAAACATTAGCAGGACTGAGAATGATTACATTGACTAAAAATAGCATTTAGATATGTTGGCATGTGAAAAATTGCCATGATTGATAGAAGTTCTATGGTAATATTTTCCTCATTAGTTATATGATGTTCACAGAGTCAAGTAATTATTACACTATTATTTATTTTTAAGTCTCGGCGAGACTAAGCCAGTTAATTCTCTGCTACATTCGTTTTTTGTGTGGATTAATCCCCTTTATTTTGTGGTATGTTTTCCATGGTTATAATGACATTTTACATTTTTAATATGCTACTTTTCTCATTAGATGTTAATATTTTTCCTTTTTTTTTTAAGCTAGGAGAAACTTGCTACTTAATTTGGCATTTTTCTATTTACTGTTAGATTTGTTGTTGTAATATGCTTTGTATTGCTAATTATAATTTTTGAATATCTGTGTGACCTCCATTTACTAGTAATGTGTTTGTTAAATTGTATCTTCTACCATATATGAGGAGTGGCTGGCTGAGTGGTGCAGAATGCTGGGCTCTCAGTTAAAAAACCCAGGTTCAGATCCTTGAAAAGGTGATATTTTTGTTTCTGTCTTGGACAAAAATAAAATCCTAACCTAAAGTCTGTGGTGACTGCATTTCATGAGGCCCTAAATTCTCAGGCTGAAGACCTCCGTGTCCTACACCGTCCTAAAAACCAGTAAATGCAGACAGTAAAAAAACATTTTTTGTTTGTAACCTACAACAGAGGTTCTTAAGTTCCAGCCCTCCTGCACCATCTTAACCGAAACAACCCTACACGTCATTGTGATAAAAAATACTGAATGACTCTCTGTCATGTAATTATTCAGTTAACTAGACTTGTTATTTACTATTTAAACCCAACAGAGGACCCAAGTGTAAGAACCAGACTCACTGAGTGTTTAGAGACAATTTTGAACAAAGCTCAGGAACCTCCTAAGTCAAAAAAAGTGCAGCATTCCAATGCTAAAAATGCAGTGCTGTTTGAAGCCATCAACCTGATCATTCACATGGACAGTGATCCCAACCTTCTAGTCAGAGCCTGCAATCAACTGGGTCAGTTTCTTCAACATAAGGAGACAAATTTAAGGTCAGTGCTTCCATCTTCTCTTCCATGTTTATCTTGACTTATGGTAAATGCTATCATCTTCTCTCCCATGTTTATCTTGACTTATGGTAAATGCTATCATCTTCTCTCCCATGTGTATCTTGACTTATGGTAAATGCTATCATCTTCTCTCCCATGTGTATCTTGACTTATGGTAAATGCTATCATCTTCTCTTCCATGTTTACCTTGACTTATGGTAAATGCTATCATCTTCTCTTCCATGTTTACCTTGACTTATGGTAAATGCTATCATCTTCTCTTCCATGTTTACCTTGACTTTTGGTAAATGCTATCATCTTCTCTCCCATGTTTATCCAGATTTATGATAGTTGGCACCTTTTTATCTTTACTTATGGTCATTGGTACCATCTTCTCTCCCATATTTGCCTCGATTTATAGTAATTGGTATCAGATTCTCCTATTTTTACCTCAATTTATAGTAATTTGTATCAGATTCTCCCATATTTGCCTCGATTTATGGTAATCTGTATCAGCTTCTCTCATATTTACCTCGATTTATGGTAATCGTTATCAGCTTCTCCCATATTCACCTCAGTTTATGGTAATGGGTATCACCTTCTCCTATATTTGCCTTGATTTATGGAAATGGGTATCACCTTCTCCCATATTTGCCTTGATTTATGGAAATGGGTATCAGTTTCTCCCATTTTACCTCAATTTATGGTAATGGGTATCAGCTTCTCCCATATTTGCCTCAATTTATGGTAATGGGTATCAGATTCTCCCATATTTGCCTCAATTTATGGTAATCGGTATCAGATTCTCCCATGCACAGCCACATGTTTGTGATGTATCTAACATAGACTTTGGTGCAAGTTTGTGATATATCTAACAAAGACCTTGGTACAAGTTTGTGATGTATCTAACAAAGACTTTGGTGCAAGTTTGTGATGTATCTAACAAAGACCTTGGTACAAGTTTGTGATGTATCTAACAAAGACTTTGGTGCAAGTTTGTGATATATGTAACAAAGACCTTGGTACAAGTTTGTGATGTATCTGATAGACTTTGGCACAGCCACATGTGTGTGATGTATCTGATAGACTTTGTTGTCATGTTCAGGTACCTTGCTCTGGAGAGTATGTGTTTATTAGCCACCTCTGAGTTCTCCCACGAAGCAGTCAAGAAACACCAGGATACTGTTATAACTGCATTGAAAGTAAGTCATTTGTGTGGCAATTACTTTTAGAGACATGATTTTGTTTACTTCCACAACTAATGTTTGGCCATATGACATTCATAGTTCAGGCTGGAAATGTCTGCCTAGTTCTAAACACTATATGTTAAAATTAGTGGAAACCTCCAACTGCTGCATTTCATATACATAGAAAGAGAGCAGCTCTGTGCTCTATGGGAAAACAAGTTATATGTGTTCTTTATATACACTGATAACAACATGTTGTATGCATATTTGCTCACATTTATAACACTGAGATTTGGAAACTTGATGTAATCAAACTTGCAGTGCAGTAGAATTCTGTATGTCTTGCTTAATTTGTGTGTGCGTGCGTGTGTATGTTTTTTTTTCTCGTTGTGAGTTTAATGCTGTTTAATTCTTACAGACATTTTCAGTACATGTTCATAATAATTGCTATTTTCTAAAAAAAAAATTCTTTTTTTTTTCGGGAGATATAATTCTTTAGCTTACACATGTGATTATAGCATGATGTTGTTTAGGACATAGTTTGTCTTCCCTCCTCATGACATACAGAGGCATAGTTTGTCTTTTCTCCTCACGACATACAGAGGCATAGTTTGTCTTCCCTCCTCACGACATACAGTCACTACTCTGTTTTGGGCTGGTTTTCATCATTGTGAAACTGCAGTCTCAGTGATCTGTTTGGCCTACACTTTATTTTGCAACTCCCAAGATATAATTAACAATGTCCACCCTTGCCTTCTTTTCCTGTCTTCCATCTCCCAGTGAAACAGGCTGTAAATCAGCTCGCACCAAGTTTTTTGTACACTTGGTTTTGTACATGATAAAGTAGCTCTTATCAACCTCCTTTAGTTGCCTCTTATGACAGGCATGGTAGGTTATAGTGTCACTGTTATTTATCTCCCTTTTGAGCTCAGCGTCAGCTTTTGTTGTTTAGACATTGTGAACATGCTTTGTAATGCCGGGGTGCTGGGTTCGATCCCAGCTGCAGGCGGTTTGTCTTGTGTTGGTTTCGACTGTGGTACAGAGAGCTGACCGTTCAGATAGCAATAACAAAATACTGATCGTAAATTTTGTCTAGAAAAATCACAACAGCCAAAAAAAAAATGCTCAACTATCTTGTGAGTTCAGAAGCACACAGATGATCACTTATCTGTGAAAACATACTATACACTGGACGGAATGGGGGATGGGGGTGGGTGACATTATTGAGTTTCTTTACAAAATTGAGGAGCTGCAGAAGTGCTGTGGCTAGATGCTTTCCCGACATCCTTGGGGTCATGGATCACATTAGGATGAAATTCTAACAATTGGTTTGGGCTCCCAGTTTGACCCAGCCTAAAATGAGTATCAGGAAATGATCTGAGAAGTAAAGGTAGCTGATGGGGTGTTGACTACCTTACCCATTCAGTACTGATGGGATATACAAATATTTCTCCAGCACTGTCTCAGAAGCCTGTCTCAGATGTGCGTATTAATAATGGCCTGACATCTGAACTAGACATTTAATGGATAAATTCTTGAATTGTTTGAGCATGCTTGCCATGAAAATGATTTGTTCTGAAGATTTGTTTAAAAATAAGTGCTGTGAATGCATAAAAGTGTAACCACCATGTTGGAGTACTAATGTAGATGTAGAAATCATAAAACCGCAGGTTTCTATAAAGAATATAATTTACAATCCGCAGACTGAAAGAGATGTCAGTGTGAGGCAGAGAGCAGTCGATCTACTGTATGCCATGTGTGATCGCAGCAATGCAGAAGAAATTGTTGGAGAGATGCTGGAGTACTTAGAATCTGCTGACTATTCCATCCGAGAAGAAATGGTGAGCAAATATTCATCATTGTCACTTTATTGATATTTGCCCTCTGGGTTCCAGCAGAAGGTCTTTCTAGTTTAACTTTTACATAGTTTCTCACTGTCCTATTCACCGTAGGATCTTTTTCACTGGACTTTGTTTAATTCTCTCCAAAAGCTTTAAGTCTGTAGCTGTACTTTACCATTTTACTCCTTCTGTTCTGTGCATGCATGAATTAATCAATTTTTGTAGTTATTAATAGCTGATTTAACCAGTCTTCATGTTCCTGATACATCGAAGAGTGCTGATTCGTTAAATAAACTAAGTTCATGCTAGATTTAATTTCTTTTGACCTCCCAAATTCTTTTGGGTATTTCAGTAACTGAAAAATGTGTTATATAGAAGATTTTGAAACAGAAAAGTGGTCAAACCATTTTCCTCAGACTCTGAAAGTTGTTTGGTTTATGCTGCAATTTTTTTCACCAGAGATTTGTGCGGATTATTGCTTGAGCTCTTGCTTTATGTGGTGCACTCAGCAGGTTGTTAGGCATACTGTAGGGAGAAACTGAGCTGTTGGGATAAAACCAAGTGCAGTTAATACTCTCAATTTTAACTGTCAACTTTTAAGGAAAGGGGGGGGGGGAAGAAGAGTAAAGCATCACACACATAGATATTTAATCTTAAGTTGCTTTTCCCTGTGTTGGTTCTGCCCCCCCCCCCCCCCCCCCTATTTTTGGGGGAAAGAAAGAATAAACCTCAGAAGAAGAAGTTACTTTGATATTGAAGTCTCACTCTAAAGTGTGTAATGTTTCTCTACAGGTACTGAAAGTGGCCATCCTAGCAGAGAAATATGCTGTAGACTATACATGGTACGTGGATGTCATTCTCAACCTGATCCGGATTGCTGGTGATTATGTTAGTGAAGAGGTAAGGATCTGCATCATACCATTGGTTGAAATCATGATATGTTTGTACAAGGGAAATCCTGGACTGTGCAAGCCTGTGACCAGAAAAACCATAAATATAAGGCATCAGGCCGTCAGTAGTAGTTGAGATAGAGTTCATCATCATCAGGTGCTTGCCAGCTGGCGTAGGCGTTGATGCGCCTCCACAGATCTCATTCTTTGGTGTTGTGGATCAATTCCACTGATGATATTCCTCCATGCCACTGTCTTAAGCCATCCACCATCATTTATCTTGGTCTGCCTCTGCATCTTCTACCAGTGAACTTTCCAGTCATGATATTCTACAGTGTTCCTTTTCTCATCATATGATGAAAGAACTGTCTCCTTCTCATTGTTGTAAATAATGTTCTACTTTCACTAGCCATTCAGGCAGTCATTGTTAGTTATTTTGGCAGTCTAAATTATTCACAACATTCTTCTCAAGAACCCCACCTCATTTGCCTCCATACTCTTCTTAATTTGTTTGCTCACGTTCCAAGATTCACTGTCGTTCAACAGAACAGGCTCGTTGTAACATTTCAAAAGTCTTTTGATGTTTAATGAGAGTGATTTATTACATTAGATGCTTTTTTCTTCTTCTGAAATGCTGCCTATGCTTGGCAAATTCTGATCTTAATTTCGATCACACATCGTCCATCTAATGTTGTGAATGTCCGCGAATACTTGCATTTATTGACTTGATTAAGCACTTTCCCTTCTATTGCTATGTCACATTTTGGAGTTATTTTCTTCTTTGATAAAACCATTGTTTCTATTTTCTTGACATTCAAGGGAAGGCCCTTTTTTTTTAAATTATAGACTAGACGGACTTGTGCAAACATATTGGAGATGTGAAAAATCTGTAGATGTCTGTTCTTGTGACAAGTAAAAACATGAATTCAATCTGATTATAGACTAGACCTATTCCTGTACTGCTACTAAGTGGTACTACAGACTAATTACAGACTGTACTGTTCATCATTGACTTGGACATGTTTGCAGATTGCGGTATAAAACTTTGGCAAGGATAGCTGTTTGGTTCTTGGCAGATAGAAAACGTGAACAACCAAACAATCCTGGAGAAAGACAATAGAAAGGGAACTGAAGGAATATAATTTGTCATGGAATACCCTGTGCAGAAAAGCAGCTGGCCATCACCAATGGAAATCACTGATGAATGCCTTATGTGTCAGCAACATAAAGAGGATATAGATGGACTACACCCACATTGGGATTGGCTGCTATTAGGCATTTAAGTATAATTATAGCCTAGCCTTTCCCTGCCTGGGATTTGGGGCCCCATTGGAAGAGGGGGTGGGGGGGGGAGATAGACTCACTCCTCTATAACAAGGTTAGTTGCGTATCCTTTACAGGATGTTGCAGAACCAACCCCAGCCTTCCCTGGCTGTTGTGTGGTTTTTCTAAGCAAATTTAGGTCCAGTAGTTTGCCATTGCTTTCTGGACGGTCGGCTTTCTTGATACCACTGTCGAAACCAGCACATGACCTGCAGCTGGGATCGAACCCGGCATTACAAAGCGTTTGCATTGACTTAGCCACAGAGCCGACCTCTATAACAAGCATGTTGTAAAAGGCAACTAACTAAGGATTTGTTAAAATCATATGTGATGGGTTGAAATGTGTGGATATCGCAGCCTAACTGTAAACTGCAACAAAATGTGCCAGCCACTCTGAAAGTGGTTTCCAATCAGTTGAGACCCCTCTTATTTTTGGAGGTCTGCCTGGGGCCCTATGATTTTAAATAGTTGTACTAAAGAATCTATTTTAATTTATAAATATTAGAATAGCTAAAACGATTGCATTCTAAAGTTGTTGGGGGGGGGGGGGTGGAGAGGAGGGTGTGATAGTGATATTACACATCCCTTTAATTTATTCCACAGACATGAAATTGGTTATTCTAGATTATTCCTTAAAGGAAAACAATAGTCGCATACAGAATTAAATTAACAAAGAGCTAATAAGGAGATTATATGTTGATTAAAAAAAAACAAATGAGTCTACAAGTTTCTAATTACTGATGCCATCATGATTGCTTTTGTGTTGCAGGTGTGGTACAGGGTGATCCAGATTGTGATAAACAGGGATGATGTTCAAGGGTATGCTGCAAAAACTGTCTTCGAGGTTTGTGTTCAACAATTGTCCTGTGTGTTATTTAAGAGCCCTGCAGCAGGACTTTTTGTATGTCTGGTATGCCTTTAATGCTTAGCTGTGCCGAATTTTAATTCCATATTCTTAGCAACGTTGTGGACACACTGTTCCCAAATCCTCGGATTGTCCTGTCTCTCTAAGAACATTACCAATGTCAGCGTGATTATAGGATTGCTATCTGCACCTAAGGCAGAACTGGCCAGTCTGTCAGCTCTTTCATTGGGACCAAGATAACTGCTTGCTCGTGGGAGTTCTGCAATGACTCAATCCACTCTCTGCATATAGGACCTGCCGCAACCCACCAAATCATTCTAAAAAAACCACTCAGCACACACACATTGGAATAGTCTTGTGATTCCAGCTACATGAAAGTGGATAAGAGCATGGACCTTGGTATCAACAACAACTGGATTATGCTCCCGACAACTGTCAAGCACGATTGAGTGCTTAAGTCAAAGATATCCTCACCAGGGTGGATGTCTATAAAACTGTAGACCTGTTTGATGTCATCCTCTGCCCTACCCAGCCATGATTTGCCCCTTTTTAGTCATTTGCCCTTTTTCTGAAGAGCATGTGGTGCAAAGGTGCTTCAGATCGGAGCTTATCTTCAGTGGCATGACCTTTTAGGATGCCTTGAATAAAAGCCCTACCCCAAAAAATAATCCTAGTTAAGATGGTCTACTAAAATAAGAGACTTGATGCGGAATGACAAGTCCTAGTACAGGCGCTACTAATACAGGAAATTGAGTTGCAAAAAATCAAGGTTTAGAGTTTTGATGATGTTCCAGGATAAGATAACATGACTGGGTTTGAATAATGTAGAAGTTTATAGATGAATAAACGTAGATTTTTGTGTCTGAGCAAAATAAGCCCTGAACATTTTTTAAGCAAACATTTGAATAAGATCTTATCTTATTTTTGGGAAAACATTAAAAATACTTGTGTTTTTAATACTGTTTGATGTTTAAAATATTTACTTCTTAATTTTGGGATTTAAAAATAGTAAGCATCTTATACATGGCATAATTTTATATCTGGGAGCATCTTATGCCTGGGAGCATCTTATACCTGGGAGCATCTAATAATTGGGAGCATCTTATAATTGGGAGCATCTTATACCTGGGAGCATCTTATACCTGGGAGCATCTTATACCTGGGAGCATTTTATAATTGGGAGCATCTTATAATTGGGAGCATCTTATACCTGGGAGCATCTTATACCTGGGAGCATCTTATACCTGGGAGCATTTTATAATTGGGAGCATCTTATAATTGGTAGCATCTTATACCTGGGAGCATCTTATACCTGGGAGCATCTTATACCTGGGAGCATTTTATAATTGGGAGCATCTTATACACAGAAAATACATGGACAGAATATTTATTGGAAATTCCTACTGGTTCATGACCCATTTTGTTTAGCATTCATGAGTTGAAGGGGTTAACACTTGTTATGTTGTTAAATACTGAAAGCTGTGTGTAAAGTTGCATTTTAATTAATTATGAAACTGATTTTGTGATATCTACACAGGCTCTTCAAGCTCCTGCTTGCCATGAGAATATGGTCAAAGTTGGAGGTTACATACTTGGGGAGTTTGGCAACCTGATTGCAGGTGATCCAAGGTCCAGGTGAGGCAGAAAATACTCCCCAGATTTGTCTTCTCTACTTTTACACTGTTTTTTTAATTTTATGTTAGTACCATCAGTGTGTCCAAGTCAGTGTTAGGGTTGGTAATATCCAAGATTTGTCATTTGTGAACCTGACACTGTTTTTATGTTGGCTCTTTCAGTATGTCCAAGTCAGTATCCAGGGTAAACTGTATATCACAGTGTTTTTCAGGGGTAGTAATACCATTGAAGGTCGACCCAGCCTCAAATGGGTACCAGGATGGGCTGTCCTGGGAAAGTAAAGACGGCTGGCGTAATGCTGACCACATTACCCACTGAGTGCCGATTAGTCTGTAAAAATATGGGTGCTCTTCCCATATGCCCGATGCGCCTAAGGGATCTTTACTTTACTTTTTTAATACCATTGACTGTCTTAAAAAATAATCCAGTTTCCAGGGCGTCAGAAATAATAAAATGAGGAAGCAAGTGGTGGCAGAACCACTATCAGGCTACTTGAAAAGACATTAAGCCAAGATTAGTTTATTATAATATTACTACAGGATTGGCTTGTTAAGAGCTCTCTCCCTTAGATACAGTGGAAACTCATCTTTAACAATACATCGATAGAATAAAATTGCATTTTAGCAATGACTGATGATGCAGACAGGCATTCTCTGTGCAGAGTGGCAAGCATTGCTTCAGACGTCCCGCATAGCGATCTTCAGATTTTTTCCTCTGGGGTTTGCAGGTGTGCTGGGAAATTAACAGGCTGACATATTGGCTAGTTATGCGCCAATGGGTGGTGACAAGCTAGATGTGGTCAAGGCCCTTAGGGACTAATAAAGGGACAAATAGGTCATACGGTCTGCAGAGAATGATACAGCTAGGAGTGGCCAGGGGATCTGATTGACACTCTGCACCCAGAGGAAAGGCAAGACGGACAGATAATCAAATTGCTACTGGCACCATTGCAATTAAAACTCTTTGCTGGATGCTAAAGATAAGGTCGGAGTGCTTATGGGAATGTCTTGAATGCTGTGATGCAGTTCTTATATCAGTACTCTATGAATGATAATGGTATTTTGTATCGACCACTTATTGTTAATTCTCTTACCTATTTTATGTTGAATATTTCTGTGAATGCATTAATAATTATTAGTAATTGGGTTTGTGCTAGCAACTGATTGTTTGACCACAGCACATGTTATGAAAAGGCCTAAGCCTTGAAAAATGGATTTTCTGATGAGTGTGAGGATGGACTACTAGTATTTCACTATTCAGTTTCTTTATACACCACATCAGGTTCCCCATTTTCTTTGTCCTCAATGTCACTTTTGTCTCTGTATTTATAACATCTCTTGTTGTCTTTTGTTTGTAATTAAAAAAAAAAATTGCATATTGGAAACTAAATATGTTTGTAAATAGAATATATACTTCAAATCAGGTTTCTCACTTCTTTTTGGTTTTATATCTCACTTACTGTTTCTTCTTCTTCTCTTCCAGGATATCTATAGCGCATTATGGAAGCCAGACAAATTTGCAAATGGAATACATATTGTATGTCACTATACACAAACATCTGTCATGATACACAATCCTTCACTCTGCTGCACATACACACACACACATGTCATGCCATGTTTTCCTTTTTTGTTTTCCCTGCAGCCCTCTAGTCCAGTTCCAGCTGCTGCACTCCAAATATCACTTGTGTAGTCCTAACACCAGAGGCCTGCTGCTGTCTACTTACATCAAATTTATCAACTTGTTCCCGGAGATCAAAACAAGCATCCAGGAAGTATGGGACTCACTGACTGCATTTTAGTAATAATAAAGATGATGATAATGGTTTCTTATGGGAACATGTTTTATCTGCATTTTAGTAATAATAAAGATGATGATAATGGTTTCTTATGGGAACATGTTTTATCTCACCGATAATGGGTTTGGGTAATAATCAATACGCTTCTGACCCAGGTGGGGAAAAACTGTGACAGATGAATTCAGTAATAGTGACAAAGTCTGTGGATGCCCAGTTACATTATAGCATTCACTCATAAAATAAAAGTATGCTGGCTAAACATACCCAGAAATGAGAGAAATGAACAAGTCCAGAACAAAAAAATAGAGTAATACTACACCGTGCAGGTCTCCTTACCTTATGCTTGCGGTCAGGTTAAAACTAGGGTGCTTCAAATAAAAACCTTAAAGGTGTGATAGAAATTACAATAACCATACCATTGACTTGTAACCTGTCAATGTTACTATCATGAATATGCAGATAAACACAGTGACGGCATAATGGCAGTTTAAAGATCCCCCCCCCCCCTCCCCAACCCCCACTAGATAAGATATGGGGCAGCACTTAAGCTGAAGCATGATGCACTCATCTAAAAACAGTTTTAATATAAGTGCTACATTAAAAAGAAAAAAAAAAGCAGTGGGCCATCTCCACAATAATGGTTGGTTGCACTGGATGTGTGCATTGACTTAAGATATATTACATGGCCTCTTCCACAGTGTAACTCTAGTACCACTGTTTAAAAACTACAAGAATGGTCATCTTAATACAGTGGTTATAAATGAGAGATTGTTTTTCATAAATTATAAAATGTTGCTGGTGTCAGCTTTGTTGTCACTGTTTATCTTTTTCTCATTTATGTTCATGGCTGTAAACTTTGAAAGTTCTGGTTGTTTGTCCACTTCTGGACTTTGGTCTTATTCTAAAACTTGAGTTGCATATCCACCTTATAGATCTGACTTATTTGTGTGAAGTCTGTTGGTTCCTTAGCTCTCAGACAGGTGCTGTCTGACTTTGAAGGAAACGCCAGTCCTGTCTACTTTGGTCAAGTTGCCTGGTTGGAAACACCTGTTTCTAGGATGACTGCAGAGTGGTGTATACAGGTCTTAACCATCTGAGTGCACCACTACAGTTGCTTCAGCACTTCTGCATCCCACCCACTCTGTTTGTATGATTGACTACTGTTTGTTGGTATTGTCTTTGTATCTTGTGCTTTCTTTTGTGTGTGTGTATGTTATTAAATGAACATGTGTAATATACCATAAATCGTTAAACTTTATGTTACTGACAAACTCCAGGTGCTTGGAAGTGACAACAACTTGAGGAACCCAGATGTAGAGCTACAACAGAGATGTATTGAATATCTACAGCTGAGCACTGTGGCTTCTTCGGATGTTCTGGTTAGTGGACACCTAGAAATGTTCTTGAATACTTTCTGCAGCTTTGTTTTATACAGCTGACAATGTAATCTTGAACTTTGGCATGATGTGACCGCTGTCAAGCTGATATCAAGAAGTTGATAAATTTAGTTCTAAATTTATTTTTTAAACAATTTTAAAATTCAAGTTTGTTAAAAAAAAAAAAAAAATTCACAAAAGGTAAAATGATAAGGCAATTACATTTTTATACAAGAAAGATTTAATCCAATATACTTTTCTTAAAATGGTGCGTGACCTCAGTTATTTTTTTAAGGAAAAACCACACCAAATGTAATGTTTCTGCTCATTATATTAGTCCAGATTTTAAGATTTTGGACATACAACAAACTGAAAAATAGAAGTTTTGAGAAAATTGAATGTTCAACTTTTCAAGTCAAATAACATAAGGTTGTCATACAGTTGAAATATTCTTACACAGCTTTTTGGATTTGCCTGATATACCTTGACAGTATCACATACATTTAACAATTAAATGCCCAGTAATGTAGATTTTGCCTTCTTATATTAGAGAGAGAGACAGAGACATTGTCAGTTTAAATATTAGATGAGGTTAATTTCCTCAGATTGAAGCAATGATTAGCTAAGTTTCTTTGCGTGAATACCTCGAGGTTTTTAGGTTTCTTCTTTACTCCAGAGCTGCATACATTTTTTTAATTATAATAAATGCACTTTTGGGAGGATTTTCACTGAAATTGAAAGCATTATCATGTAAATTGTGAAAGGTAATCAAGTCTGTCATATTGGAAAAGATTCATGCACTGAGTATGTGTTATATCGTTGCCAAGGATATCTCTAATAGGGACCAATCAGATGTGGTCAAATGATAGAACCAATGAAATCTTGTTATGATCAGTACTTTCTACGTTTCGAATGGAGCAGGCAAAGCTTGATTTTGCTTTCTGATAGAATCATCAGAATAGACTTGGAAAGGCTTTTAAATTGATGTATATATCTTACTATATTTTTGGGAAACAGCGGTTGCTATTTAAAAAAAAAAAATATAGCAGATTGATACAAGCTACAGGACACCTTGCAGGAAGTGACTTCTATTAAATAGTATGCATATATTGTTAATCAGACAGCGCCACTTTTCCAGCTTGTCTATAGTCACTTGTTTACGAGATGCATAGTTTATGCTGTTGGCTGTTTTTGTGCCTGTGCAAAGGTTTAGGAGGTCAGGATATGAGTACATTACCTAACTGTAGCATGTGGGGAAAGGGTGGCTTTTTTTTTTAAGTGTTCCCGGGGGGTGGGGGTTAAACAGTGTACCAATGTTTAAATATGTGCATATATTATGCAGATGTGGTTAGTAGTCAGAATGCTGATTTTGTTAAAATTGTTAAGCAGACAGAATCAGATTTTAGATAGTTTGTAGAGCTCTCTAATTGCTTGAAGTTTTAACTCACATCACTGCAGATTTTCAAAATTTATTTGTACTCTCAGTGTGAAATAAATGCAAGATTATTTTTCTGAGAAGCAAAGGTGCCAATCTCGATGTTGAACATATCACCCTTGGAGTACCAGTTGGTCTCTAAATATGATCAAACACCATTTGCCCTATGTATATTGTACTGCTGATAACTTGAAGTTAATAAAATAAAACACTGTACAATATGTAATTTATGTTGATGTTACTTCCACATCAGAGCTCCGTTTCTGAAATATCTTTCTCTTATGTTGTTTCTCAGGCAACTGTTTTAGAAGAAATGCCACCATTCCCAGAGAGGGAGTCCTCTATTCTAGCCAAACTTAAGAAGAAAAAGCCAGCTGTGCCAGAAGGAACAGAGGTGAAAGAAAAAGAAGCCCGCACAATTCCACAAGCCCAAATTAACAGCCTAGAGACTGCACCGCCCCCACCTCCAGTAATTCAGGTAGGATCTTTCATCAAATAATTGTTTGTTGATCTTGTTAAATTTATGCCCCACAATTGCCAAGTGTCTTGTACACTGGAGCATAATCTTTTTAAAATAAAAAAAATTTTTAAACTTCTTTAGAAAGGAATTGCAGAAATATCTTTTTTATACAGCCATAACATCATTAGTTGATAGCCCGCTTGCTTGCCTAGATATTGGTCTGTGTTCAAAATCTTCAAAAGTGGCTCTGAGGTCAAGTCATTCTCATAGTTGACAATACCCAGCATTTTCTTGGAAAGAAAGGCAATAAGAAAGGGAGCTGGCCACCCACAATGTTAAAAATTTAAGAGAAGTAAAGGAGATGAGGATGGGAACCAGTCATCCCATCTTGGTGGCCTATAATATGCGGTGGCCTAGAATATGCGATGTGAGTCACAAATTACACGTGAGTGAACACAAGCTCTTGAGCGGATGGCCAAGCATTTAGAACAATATGCTGTTATTAAAGAGGCAGGTTCTAGTCCCTGTAAGGTGATGACATGACAGATTGATCCTGAGGGAATGTATTCCATTTAGTGTTTCACTGTTTGTTTTGACTGATTACCTTTTTTATATATCTTTATGTATATATATATTTCGAAAGAACATTTTTAAAATGTCGATAGATAAATGGGAAACAATTTATTTTTCGGGGCTTGTGTAAACAGTTTTCAAGGGAGTTTCCCTGGGAATTGCCAGGTTTTTTTGGGCGCATTTTTTATTAGTAATCACAGGGTGAAAGATGCAATCCTCAGGCTGAAGGCACGTCCCAGCTTCCTGTCTTGCTCCCTAAAAAAGTGGTAAATAAAGGCAGTTAAGCCACCACTAGTTTTTCTTCAATATTATCCAGCAGTTTGTTTATTCTTCTCTTGTTTGGTTCCTTCACAGGCAAGTGGCTCAGTAGATCTGCTGGGTTTGGAGACTGTACCTTCTGGTCCAGCACCTTCCTCTGGAGGTTTGAACTTTTTGGTGGACATGTTTGGTGACCAGCCAGCAACCAATGGTGTAGATACATTCAGTTCTAGCAGTGGTTCTAGCAGTGGCTTGACAGCAGGCGCTGAAGAGAATTATAAAAAGTATGTGCATATTTCCAGTAATTAATGTGCTTTTTGGTTGTGCGTTCCTAAAATATTAAGGACTTTAGTGTTCAGGATTGTCTGTCATCATCATCATTTTCTGTTAGACTTCTTCAGGAGCTTGGGCCCTTTAGTCAAATGAGCCTTTTTAAAGAAATGTGAATGTGATAAATATAGTCAGTGATGAGTCTACCAGAAGTGTGGATTAAAAAATACATTCAGGAAGAAAAGTATGACTATGCCTAACCTATTTCTAAAGTGAAATTTGAAGGGAGGTATGGTTTTAATTGGTGTATTTCAGACATCAATAGAAAACACTGTATGTGAAGGTACTTTAACACTCAGTTTATTATGTTCAGATGGTATTTTAGAATCATACCAGTTGTAGTATGTGAGGACCTATAAAAGAAAACTCTCACATAGGCAGATAGTTCAGGGAAATTCTCACATGGACAGATGGCTCATTTGTGTTTTTGCCTGGGTTTTCCATTTCCTCCATTAAGCTTTCAAGTTGATTGATCAGTTTGTCCCCTCCGGCCAGCTATCTAAAGGCTTACAGTGCCACCCTGAGATGAATAAATCTCACTCTGGATGGCAGAATAACAAGACAAATCATAAATCTCACTCTGGGTGGCAGACCAACAAGGCAGATCACAGATACCCTGTTCAACCTTCAAAGAGGTTATAATTAAGGCATCCATAATGGCTACACCAGACAGATGTCACCTGCAGTCCTATGCAAGTGAGGACGAGGCTTTCAAGTCATAGTTTATATCCTGCTGAGTTTGTTTCAGTCATCTAGTCTTCACCTGACTATTACAGTCCCTTGTCCACATTTCCTCCTCACTGGACATAGTTCACACACAGTCTCTTGTCCACATTTCCTCCACACTGGACATAGTTCACACACAGTCCCTTGTCCACATTTCCTCCACACTGGACAAGGTTCACACACAGTCCCTTGTCCACATTTCCTCCACACTGGACATAGTTCACACACATTCCCTTGTCCACATTTCCTCCACACTGGACATAGTTCACACACAGTCCCTTGTCCACATTTCCTCCACACTAGACAAGGTTCACACACAGTCCCTTGTCCACACTGGATATAGTTCACACACAGTCCCTTGTCCACATTTCCTCCACACTGGACAAGGTTCACACACAGTACCTTGTCCGCATTTCCTCCACACTGGACAAGGCTCACAGTCTTTTTTTAACATTCAGGATTGCCATCTGTAGGATTACCACCTGGAGATGAGAATCAGAGGCAATTCTCAGAAACCCTGTTCACCTCTATACCACAGTTATAGTAGGACACATTACAAAGTTAACCTGACATCTGTGTGGGCAACAGTCTGCACAGATGCATCTCTGTGTCTCACACACACTGTCCTGTTTACAGTTTTTTGACCTATCTTTCTTTGAATATGTGGTGATAACAGACTGCTAGAAATGTGCTGGATACATATTCTGAAATTGTAAAAATGTGTATTTTCTGTTTCCTTCCAACTTTTCCACCATCGCAGTGTCTTCCAGTATTCTTCCCATGACATGACCAAGGAATGTTGATTGTCTCCTGATGTGGGCAATCAGTTGTCTTCATGAATCAGTTTCTTTCAAGACATTTTCACTACTCTTTTTATCTGTACATGTTGTTCTCATAATTTATATGTAAAACTACATTTAAAAAAAAAAACCACACTTCGAAATATGTTTCACTAATCGTCCAACTGTCCAGGATTCACTTCCGTATATCAGGATATAATTTATATTTTGCTCTTTAGTATTCTCTTTTTCATATCAGTGGACAAAGAAGTATTGCATACGATGTTCTAGTTTGAACATAACTGGATGGCTTGTGGTGCTACAGAGTTCATACACTGTGCTGAGATTCGTCTTGTTGGTAGAGACTGGAGCCTTTATGACCAATTCTGTGTTTGTATGTGTGCAGTCAAAGTGATCTATAAATTTAATCCTGAAAATGGGTCTATTGAGTATGCTGCACAGGAAAGACAAGATCAGGTGAGATTCCCCCCCCCCCCCCCCCCCCCCCCCCTTCCAAAAAAAAATCAGCATACGTCAGAAACAGTGGACAAACATAAGGCTGCCCTCCAGAAGATGATCAAGCACTCTCTTTGAAGCAGTAAACATTTGTTTTCATACCTGTTGTCTCTGTCTTGTACATTTTATAATACATATTTAAAATGTGGATGTTATTTAAAATGTGGATGTTAACAATCTTACAAACCTGAATATTTTTATTTTGTTTGCTTTCAGATTCATTTGTAAGCACAATGGAGTACTTTATGAAAATGACCTGCTACAGATTGGCATAAAATCAGAATATAGGCAAAATCTGGCACGTGTTGGAGTTTTCTTCGGCAACAAAACCACATTCCAGTTTACAAATTTTGTCTCTGACCTCGTGCTGCCTGGCACACTATCATCTGGTATCCTTTCTGTTTGGTCTGCTTTGTGATGTTATACACAAATTTATACAATAATTAACTTGTAAAATAATAATTAGTGCTGAATCTGACAAAAGAAAGGGTCTATATATGATTATAAAAAAGGCCATATGGGACATAATAGATAGTGCATCCTATTGCTGGTCTAGTCTCCTGGGCTAGTGTTCCCCTTGAGATGAGATCTTGTACGTGACCTTAGGACTAGGGTTTGCTCAGTCTTAAGAAAATTGTTACTAGATTTTCTGGTAGGTAAAAGTGACCCATGTGATATTTCAGAAATGATTTTACACTTTTTTCCATTTAATTTCACAGTGTTTGTCAAAACATCAGCATTTCTCAACAGTTATTTGCAAAAACTTGTGAATTTTTTCTGTCACGCTTCTTCCTTTCATTTCTCAGCGGAGCATAGGCCCTCAACCAAATATGAAATATGCCACTAGTTTTCTGTGGGTTGAAGTAGTCAGCATCATCTGAACCTTCCTGGCCACCTCTCACAACATGTATTTTAAGTCAGGACATTACTATCATTTGCTTTCCCTATGGTCCCTAGTACACACTGTGTGTTTACACATCAAAATTCACTGAACACTAAATAAGGGTAGATTCCTCATCACAACATCAATTGCCATGCTGATAAACATAGGTTGTCATTTTCCCCCCCACCCTGTGTGATCACCGGAATCACAGATCTGGTCAAAGCTTTTCTCTGACACCATTCTTATGCCCAGGCCATGCAGTTTTTTGTTTATCGCTTTGCCTTTCCCCTTGCCCTTTTTTTAATCAATCTTGCGGGTTGTAACCAAATTCTTGAGCTAGTTCCTTCTCTTAACATGTCCGAAAACATTTTAGGGTTCTCGTTTGTTTTGAAAACTACCTCATTTGTTTTTTCTATTATTTTGCGAAGTTCTTTGCATTTTTCATAAAAACCAAATATCCAATGCAAGTAGATCTTCAGATTGTCTACTTATTGTTAATGCATATAGGTTCTGTATAGCACTTCAAGATTCTTTTTCTCATTGCGGTTGACATCTTTTTGTTAGCGAGTATCATTTGGATCCTGCTAATGGCCACTTCTTGTTCTAATCTCTGCAAAGCATCTTAAATTTTCTTCTCTCTCACATTTCTCTAAATGTTGTACATTGAAGAATGGCAGTTCATTCATAAGATTTCTGTCCAAATAAAATATTACCATCTGTCCTGAATCAGACAGTTTAATCACTTAGCTGCGCCCTGTTCCTTAACCTTGCAACCAGCTCTGAGTGTGCAGCCGAAGCCCGTGGAGCCATTAGTTGATGGAGGAGCCCAGGTGCAGCAGTTGTTTAACATTGAGTGTGTCACAGAGTTCACTGAAGCACCACTGCTCAACATCACATTTACGTGAGTAGCCGTGCCTGGTTTGTCCCTGTGTGTAGATGTTTTTCCATGCAGATTTGAGGTTCTTGTGATAAAATACTGTAGCTTTGTAAGCCTGACAGGTGTAATAATCTGGGTTGGTGACAGTTTTTAACTCTAATTTTTGCCCTGAGATGCACCAAACATGGTATTTCCCACCCGTTACCAATTCCACAGAATCCACTTTGCTGGCATTCTTGCATTGGCCAGTCCCTGAAAAGGTCAGTTAATGCATTGGTTCAGTTTGAGCCTGTGCAGGGGACGGGGGTATGATTATATTTACTAAAAATAACAATTTTTCTTGTGCCAGGTTTATGCTTTTCTCCAAAGAGTTTCTAGGGTGGAAGGGTTGAGTTAAGTCACAGACAATGGGTACTTTGAGTCATGCTGTCCAAAGCACTTCTTTTTAAAAGTTATAAATGGAATAAACATTTCGCTAGGCACACACACCAATTTAAAAAAAATCTGTTAACTGCAGTGAGAAAAAGTGTTGTGTTGCTATATGGCATCTGTGCTGTTGTGTGCGTATGAAACATTGACAGTGCTTAGAAAATGCTATGGCTGTGGACATATGGTTTCTGGGGGAAATGAAATAAATTAGTAATAAAATATACCATGGCCACTTAGAAAACTAGAAAGAAGCTAAAAAGTAAAGTTGCAGGTCAAAACCACTTTATATTGTTGGGATTTTTTCTTTTTGAAAAAAAAAAAAGTCTTCTTTACATTTATTTCTGTACCCATAGCACAAAATTTAGTTTGAGAATGGTGGTGGGAGCTGTCACTGCAACTGTCTTCTGGCTTGAAAACCACTTGTAGTGATTGCAACAAACTCACAAATCATGGTGAACAATATGGAGACAGACATGCTCTGTGCTGACTAGTGAGCATAATTTTAGAGGCCCCAGATAGCGAGCATCATTTCAGAGGCCCCAGATAGCGAGCATCATTTCAGAGGCCCCAGATAACGAGCATCATTTCAGAGGCCCCAGATAACGAGCATCATTTCAGAGGCCCCAGATAACGAGCATCATTTCAGAGGCCCCAGATAGCGAGCATCATTTCAGAGGTCCCTGATAGCGAGCATCATTTCAGAGGTCCCAGATAGCGAGCATCATTTCAGAGACCCCAGATAGCTAATGCCCTTTTGATATTTTTTGCCTGGATATGCAGGTGTATAAGTTAGTTAATTAATAAACAGGCAAACAGCTTGGCTGGTTCTGCGTCACTTGGTGGTACTATAGTTAATGACAAGCTAGAGTGTTGTGTTGATTGTGAAGTCTGTTCTTAACAAATCTCAGCTTAACTATCTTTTACATTTCACAATACTCAGCCAGTATCCGTCCGTGACTTGATTTTTGCTCATATAGTATGAAATGTGATTTTTATTTGGTTTGGCAGTGTTAACATTCTGTTGTTCGTTACAAAGCTGTTCACGTTTATAATTTGTGTGCTAGTGAAGTATTGAGGAGCGGCTGGCGGAACGGTTAGAACGATGGGTTCTCACACGGGAGACCCAGATTCGAATCTTTGGTAAGGCTGGGGATTTTATTAGGGGAAAAAATAAATCCTCACCTGAACGGTCGTGGCGACAGTACTATCCATGCGGCCGTAAATCCTCAGGCTTAGATACCCCCTGCCTACACCACCAAGTGGTATAACAAAGGCAGTAATTGGCAGTTGGCCATGAAGTTATTCGTTATTACATTTGGATCAAGTTTTTTTTCCAGTGCTTATGTTTAAAAAAAAAATGTTTAGTCAGTAATGATGTGATTTGATACTTTTTTTTTCTCCTCGAAACTTTAAGTTCTGTTATATCCTTTGGCCACAGTTATTCAGGTAAACCTCAAAGACTTAGTTTGAAGTTGCCAGTGATAATCAACAAATTCCTTGAGCCCGCAGAGATGAATTCTGAGGCTTTTTTCACACGCTGGAAGGCTTTGTCTCAGTAAGTTGTGTCTGTTGTAGGATATTTGTGTCTTGTCTCAGTAAGTTGTGACTTTTGTAGGAAATTTGTGTCTTGTCTCAGTAAGTTGTGTCTGTTGTAGGATGTTTGTGTCTTGTCTCAGTAAGTTGTGTCTGTTGTAGGATATTTGTGTCTTGTCTCAGTAAGTTGTGTCTGTTGTAGGATATTTGTGTCTTGTCTCAGTAAGTTGTGTCTGTTGTAGGATATTTGTGTCTTGTCTCAGTAAGTTGTCTCTTTTGTAGGAAATTTGTGTTTTGTCTCGGTAAGTTGTGTCTGTTGTAGGATGTTTGTGTCTTGTCTCAGTAAGTTGTGTCTGTTGTAGGATATTTGTATCTTGTCACAGTAAGTTGTGACTGTCAAGGTTATATTTATTTGTCATAATAATTAGTGTATTTAGCAGTATGTGTTTCTTCTGACAAAAAGTTGTTATTTCACAGGATATATATGTATCTTGTGATGCTAAGTTGGCATATACAAGATATTTGTTGTTGCCAGTTACTGGTGAATTCGAATGGAGCCAGACTTTTTTTTTTTTTTTTTAATGGCCCAGGCTCCCATGTCCCAGTATATATCAATATCCAGCTATTATCTGCAATAAATCATCTTCTGCTTGCAGTAAGTAGTTGATGACCTTGGGCTTGTTGTTTAGGAGATGATGTGTCTAGTGAATGCTCTTAGCACACATTCTTAAGATGACATAACTGGGACAAGCTGACACCTACTTAAAAGTACGATACAGTTTATTGACATCTCATCACTTACATGGAAAGTCCTGTCTGTGTCCTAATTCACAGCTTACATGAACCACATCGTTCAGATGCCAACACGCTGACTTCTCACACATTCATCGACCAGCGCTCGGCGCCTCCACTTCCACATCCCCGCATAGATGGATCTGGTCATTACCACAGACTGGCCTGGCTAGACTTGGCTTCGATGGACGTTGTCGTCTGGTCTTCCTCTCGCAGCAATCAGTTTCACGTTGTCATTCTCACGAACACTCTCACGTCCTCTCGCTCTGACGGTCAACACATACTAACACATACTATCCTGACCAGACTGGGGTCTGAACTTATACCCAGTGTTCGTTCCACGTGGCAACACGTGGTTGTTCTTGGGTTCCACGTGATAACTCGTGGTCATCCCCTATCTTGAAAACCTCGGTTAATCCGAGTATCTGGCTTCTCTCAGTATTATTGTTAGCTTGGGAATCCCCCCCCCCCCCCCCCCACCTTCCCAATCAGGGTGAAAATATCCCCCATTACATATCAGTGTCTCTTTGTAAATAGTTAGTCACATTGCTCAATTAAAGCAGCACAACCCTTTATTACCCATCTAAAATTATTGTCTCATTGTTATTTAACTAGTGCCAGTATGTCACAGTGTTACCCAACCATTTTCAATACTGGATAATCTAACATCCCTTATTAATGAAGTTGTTGGTTTAGATCCCATAGCTGCTAAATAAGTACAGATTTTGAACCTTTTTCCATTTGAACAGACCTGAGCAGGAGTGTCAGAAAATATTCAAAGCCCAGTATCCTCAAGAATACGAGCAAGTCAAGCAAAAGGTACGTCTGATAATTTGTTGAAGGACTGTAATTGGCAACTAGGAATCTATTTTAAATACAGTGAACAGGTGGAAAATGCAGTGGTACGGACACATAATATGTACTGGCCTCTTCAAAACAGTATTAGAGGGCTCAGTAGAGGGAAAAGGAGAAAATGCAGTGGTACGGACATATATGTACTGGCCTCTTCAAAACAGTATTAGAGGGCTCAGTAGAGGGAAAGAGGAGAAAATGCAGTGGTACGGACACAGAAGTGGATGGGTATTCACAGCACATTCTGCGGGCAGAATGGTTCAATAGGCTAGTGGTGCCTTCTTTATGACTACTAGCAGCATGACAGTGAAGGGGACGGTGGTGACATGAGCTATCATGTGGTTGACATCACCTGGCTATTCTCAGGTGTGTGTGTGTGCTGGTTGATTCTATGAGCATGATCCAGTGTTTTGAGACAGTGCGTCTAATGTTAGATCATCTCGTTGTTGCCCAATGGATACAAATTGAGTCACTGCAAATGGCCACCATGCATGGAGAAGCCTTCATCTTTTGTCTCGGGTGTTTTCGTTGCTTGTTCCCAAAAGGCCTTGTCATATATCAATTCACCACCCAGTGGTGAAGATCTAGCCAATCGCTCTGCCTGTTCATTACCCGCCATGCCGGAACAGATTGAGGACATATAGTGAGATACCACTGTCTCTATATTTGTTTCAGATTTTGGGCTTTGGCCTCAGCAACCTACAAGGTATTGACCCCAACCCAGAAAACTTTGTCTCTTCTGCCATATTGCACACACGCAGTCAACAGGTGGGCTGTCTCGTCAGGCTGGAGCCTAATAAACAAATGCAGGTATGTGCTTGCAGATGCTTTCCTGGCCAGATGGCGTCTTCTGTTTAGCTGGTTTTAAATTGTGTATATATTTTCAGTTGTAAAGTCAGACAAGATGTTTCACGTTGTTTATAATGTCTTTAGCAGGGTTGAACTTTTATGTTTTATGTGTCTATCATGGCTCTCTGTAGGACAGTGATCTAGACGCTTACCTGTCAGTCTAAACCTTACTTTGAATCCACATTGTGGCAGGTTTTTATACTTGACCATGAGTTCCTAAGTTGATGCAGTCAAAAATTGGTCCCAGGAAATGTCCTGGCAAATAAAGGCGACCAGAGTCATTTTGACCACATAACCAAATGTTCTATTACTATGGGTCATGAACCATATGCATGATGTGAAAAGGGTTCTTTATCCTTTATGAATAAAGTTGACCCAGCCTCATGAGATGTGAATTTACATTTGGCAAAGTAAAGGTGACCTGCATAACACTTAACCATGTCAACCCTTTCTGCCTACTGAAAGTGAATACAATCATGTATATAAACTATATCTTAGTGGCATGTCAACCTTTCTTTGGTTTCTGGCTACTGAAAGTGAATACCATCATGTATATAAACTATATCTTAGTTTCATGTCAACCTTTCTTTGGTTTCTGGCTACTGAAAGTGAATACAATCATGTATATAAACTATATATTAGTGGCATGTCAACCTTTCTTTGGTTTCTGGCTACTGAAAGTGAATACAATCATGTATATAAACTATATCTTAGTGGCATGTCAACCTTTCTTTGGTTTCTGGCTACTGAAAGTGAATACCTTCATGTATATAAACTATATCTTAGTGGCATGTCAACCTTTCTTTGGTTTCTGGCTACTGAAAGTGAATACAATCATGTATATAAACTATATCTTAGTGGCATGTCAACCTTTCTTTGGTTTCTGGCTACTGAAAGTGAATACAATCATGTATATAAACTATATGTTAGTGGCATGTCAACCCTTTCTGTGGTGTTTGGCTACTGGAAGTGAATGTAATTACATATATAAACTATATGTTAGTGGCATGTCAACCCTTTCTGTAGTGTTTGGCTACTGAAAGTGAATATAATTACATATATAAACTATATGTTAGTGGCATGTCAACCTTTCTGTGGTGTTTGGCTACTGAAAGTGAATATAATTACATATATAAACTATATGATAGTGGCATGTAAACCTTTTTGTGGTGTTTGGCTACTGAAAGTGAATGTAATTACATATATAAACTATATGTTAGTGGCATGTCAACCCTTTC